TCTATTCAGAGAACTGATGTTTGCAGATACCGCTTTATTCACAGAAACCCCAGGCAGGCAATAGCATTTTTCAGTACTCAGATGTAGGTTTCTACATGTTTTCAACCTTTCAAGGGCCCAGGTTTGATCCCTTATAATCTGCTCAATGGCCTACCATTTCTCTAATATCATGATTTGAAAAATATCACACACACATTGTGTTTTATTTTCTGTTGGGGAGCCTTTTCTATCAGCCTGGCCACTATTGAAATGCTGGCTATCCCCCTCAGGATACCCAGTGCCTGCTGAAGATGGTATGTACACCAGACCTTGGGTAGAAGGGATGCTATGGTCCTATCCTTGTCTGGTTTCTGTTTCTAAACCTTCCCAAAGTTGATTTTCCTTCAGGGAATTTCTCTTGCTGGTTGGTTTCGTATATGTGGGTATTTTAATCACCTTCTCCCAGTGTCTGCTTTTCTCTGGTCATTGTGTTGGAGCTTCTTCCCCCACTGCCACCACCTACTTGGCTATGGTGAGGCTGTCTGTATACTTCATCTTAGTTTTGGGCTGTTCATATGTGTTTTGTAGAAATTAACTTTTGTGCCCCAAGCTTTTACACTTCAACCTACTAGACATATTAATTATAATAGGTTTTTAATGATTCAGAAGAAATTTCTGCACAAAAATTTTGTCATCATCAGGTAGATATCATTTTCTATCTAAAATAAGTGTCATTTACTATTCTCTTGTCCAGTAAGTGTGGCTAGAATCTTTAATACATCAAGGAGATGTGTTAATTTTAAATGACCTTTGTCAGCATGAAATACTGATGAATGGGCAATTATGTTGAGCATTTTAAAGAATTGTATTTATTGATAAATTCATTAATAAAGAATTCTTTTAAATTGACAATGCCAGAGAAGAGCACTGTGGCGCTCATGGGGAGGCATCATGAGTTCTACACCCTGACTGAGGCCAGTCCCACAGTGCTAGTGGACCCCACAGCAGAGGCAGCAATCTGAGCGTGTCCCTGTAATCCTTCTCCAATTCGTTATCTTGAGGAGGTGGTGGCTGCATAGTGATTTCCTGACAGTCTGTTCAACAATAAAGTGGGTTCAGAGGAAGGACAGCATATCCTTCTTCCCCCACAGTGAGAGTGGCCCTGCCCTTCGATGCCCATCCTCAGTGTTTTGATTCAGGCTTGGAAGGGAATACTTCCACCAATGATGAAAATCGTAACAGCTGATGGACTATTTAGGCCACTACATGCTAGGTGAAATCCTAGGAAATTTTAAAAATTTGCATTTAAATCATGACTAGAATGCCAGTGATGTCACTGGATCCTTCACAATTTGTAAGCAGGCCTAGGTTGGAATGTGAAGGTTACAGGTGTCACAAGGTTTAGTACAAGCAGGAGAGTATAATGTTTTGACTCTCCACATTCCTTTGTATCACAGGTGGCTGGTGGATCCTGAGAGTCATAACTGGAGAAGGCACTGTGAAGTGCAGTACAGTGAGCTGGTGGAGAACGTTATATTCTGGAAGGCAGACAGCAGTCAGTGGTTATGAAGGCTTTGGATGTGAATAAACAATTCAGCCACTCAACAGACAGACTATGGGTATTGTGGGCTAACTTTAACCTCCCTTACTGATGACCTTGTGTTTTCAGAGTACCCATTGTAGCAGCATGACCTCATACAAGGGTCAACTGTATTTGCTGGTAAGAGACCAGGGTTCTCTGACTATAGGGAAAGTTCTTTGACAAAGCCTACAAATGAAGACTGGGATTCTGTTACTCAGCATTTCCTCTGGGACTTCTTGAGACCCTGGAACTTTATACAAAGAAACAGAGGATCAGACAGATCAGGATGGTCTAATGTGCTTCTTGCTACAACAAGACCAGTAGATACAAGAGATCAGTGGCGCACAAGTCTCAGAGGGGATCAGTGATTTGGAGCAGAAGATTGATTCTGCCAGGGACAGATACCAGGAACAGCAGCTGCTGCTGTATCTGCACAAGCCCTGCAGGGCCCGCAGGCACAAGTCTCTCCATCAAGGTAAGACCGTCTGCAAACAGACTGTCCATAGCCGTAAACAAAAGGAGCCCCAGAAAATATAAAGAAAAGCCTGGCTGTGTCATTTTGTAACAAGTATTGGATTTGAATGGAACAATTTACAGTATGTCTTGAGAAGTAAAACCACAAAATGGAAGGAAGAAATCCTGACAAATACCATCTGTACCTCATTTTCCAAAGAATTTCACCCTATTTTTTCAGAGGAAAGGTGGTTACTTTGTCACAATTAAACCTTCTAAGTCCCACAACATTTTATGAATTGGAGTTTGATTTTACAAGTTAGAAATGCTTTGTTTTGGCATTTACAAAAATACTGACGTTTTAACCAAATAAGTAAGTCATAGAAAATTTTATGTCACAGTGACTATCGTAATTCCTATAAGTTAGTAAGGCAATTTATCATCTCCTCTAACTAGAGGTAAAGGTAATTAACTTAATCAGATATAAATATCAGCACCATAGTTTCTGAAATTTTTAACTTATATTTTATATTTTAATTTATATTTAATCCAACCCAACATGGAGTTTATAAAGGATTTTTTTTTAAAAATAGAAATAAATAATATAAATTATGTAATGATCTATTTCAGACCTTGAATTTTCTTTAATAACGTACATTCTAGAATTTGAGAACCCAAAATGGAGCCTTGATTGTATTTAGATAGAAAAAATAAGATTTGCATTTGCCTTCCAATAGCAAACATAACAGTAACTTCAAAACTGTCCACGTGAGAATTTAATCACTTGGAAATGTTGTGAAATGTTAAAGAATTTTGAAATGTTCAAATATTTAGGCTGGACTCCAGTGTATTGCACATCATAAACACATACCAATAATTTTTTAAAAAAATTATTCAATTCCTTTGAAGAACAACATTCTAGAACAAATGATGTGTTAATTAATTCACAACAATGTTAAATGCCTCACCGTATTGTGATCCTGTATATTTCCTGGCATAAACTGATTACTATTTGAAAAGTCACTGTTCTGTGTGGCGTCATGAAATGTAAATACCACACATAATAAAAGCCAGTTGAATTTATTTATATAATAAATTGCAGTTAATTTAATTACTACAATATTTGCACTTAATGACTAAGTTTTCCATTCTTCGAAGTTTTGCATCCCTCGTAGCCAGTGCTCTACACTTTTTCTTTGAGATCAACTTCTTTTTAATTGCATACATACATCGTGGTGTTCAGATTGCCTTTCTGTTGTAGTTTACTCTTAACATAATATTTTTCAGTGCAGTTTATATTCTACACATCATGAGATTTTGTTTTTATTTCTGTTGTTTATGTATCTCTACACCACACTTTCTCTACTATTTAAGCCACTGTGGAACATATATCCTAGCAATTATAAACAGGGCTACAGTAAACCTGGCAACTCATGTGTTTCCTTGATATTTCAGTATTATACTCTTCAGATATACATCCAGGAGCAGGAATGCAAAATCACATGAACTGCATTTTCAGTTTTTGAAGAATTATCCATAGTGTTGTACAAACAATCTATAATACTTATATTAGTTTGAATCTTAATCAACAATATATGAAATCCTCTCTGCAATTTTGTCTGCAATTTCTATTGCTTACTTTCTAACAACACACATTTTTCTTAAGTTAACATACTCTGTTATGTTTGTAATTTCTATTCCTTTGATGGCTAGAAATGGTGAACATTTTTTCATATATCTGTTGATAGTTTGGAAAATTTCCTTCAAAATATCTAGTCTGATCTTCAGCACAGTTAAAATGGGTTACTGGGCTTTGAAAAAAAACTTCACCTCTTTACCGGAAAACTCCATATATAAATTAGTTTCTATGATTGGTGTGAGTGTCCTCCAAAAGTTGGTATCTTTAAAGTTTTTTTTTTTTTTTTTTTTTTAACCCAGGGAAACCTTACTGTGAGATGCTGTGAACCGAATGCAGAATTAGTATATTGAAGATGGAATATCACTTGAGGCAAATATAGCCATTCACAATGTCAAATTAATTAGCAGTAGTATGGACTTAACTTCTAGAACCACATATTGGACACACTATTATTGATTTCCACATTAATTACACTACTTAACAAGACATTATTACTTGAATTAAACAGCAATTGTCATACACACCACTTATACAACATTCAAATGGGAAAAACTGCGCACAGTCTTATAAATTCCCGCTCATGGAAAAATCCTGCTTTTAGCACACTTTTCCCCTATCACACAAAAAAATATACTTTCACCACATTGATATTATTTTCCAATAGAAAAATGGTATGCTGGTAATTCTGTATGGGATTTCTGATCTAGCTGATAGAGTACAGTAAAAACTTATTTGAATGTGCATATTGTTTTTCAGTATTAGCCTACAATAGGTCAAGTCATTTCAGAATAAACAAGTTGAATTCCAGAATTTAAGAACAAATTATGAAACAGCATGCTTGAGCCAGAAGAAGGCAGTATGACTCGAGAAACAACTTAATAAGCATACTAATTACAGGACAGCATGAGATATATAACCTCCTCTTTTTTATTTCTGGTTTGGTCAGCTATATTGTTCCTAAAGTATTCACTGGGCATGATACTTAGTCCAAAAATGTTTAGTAACTCATTGAACAAGTCATTACATTTAAAATAATTTGGAATTTACAGGATTAGTTAAGGTAAATTTCTTGAGTCTGTGAAGGTTAGATTTTCAAGTTCTTGTCACTCTCTCTGATATGCACTGAAACAAAACAAAGCAGTGGAAGGACAGTGGGTCCAGCTCACACTTGAAGCTCTGGTGACACAATTGAGGCTCCATTGGAATAGAGATTTCGCTATCCGCTGCAGAGCTCTGCAGTCTGTGATAGTTGACTCCTCACTGAGGCCTTCCTTGATTATTTAAAGATTCATTTCCAGGATTCTAACAAATTATAATCCTATTTTTCTGTTTTCATCTTTTCTCCTTATCAGTTATTTTCTCCTAATATATAATTTATTTTACAAAATTATTTCATTTATTGTTTTTTTTTTCACTCATGAGAAAATGTCTCATGAGTGAAAAGGATTATGGCCTCCATTTTATTTCTGAATATCATAACAGGAACAAAGATAGCTATTACATGGTGGTAATTCCAACCATAAGTGTCCATTGCTTTGGTTCAAAACGTATTTCATAATTCTTTCTCATATCTCAAGTAGGCCGGAAAGTGTCTCTCTCTCTCTCTCTCTCTCTCTCTCTCTCTCTCTCTCTCTCTCTGTAACATTTATCATCTTAGTAGTAATTTAAAAGCTTTTAAAAATTGTTATTTAGTGTAACTAGAACCTACTCACCATGACAGGGACATACATTAAAGAAAATTTCTGAAATGCCACACTTTAGACTCTTTACTTCCATGCTGTTCATTTATTTCACTTCCATGCTATTCATTTATTTATTATAATTCCTTTTCTAATGGTTCCTAAGTAAATGGTTCATGTAGTTTTTTCCTTGAATTGTTCTCAGGTCTCACAAGAATCAAGTAACACTTAGGGAGAAATATACAACCTAGTAATCCAGCACTGGAAGACAGGATTGCAAAAATTTCCAAGGCCACTATGGTTTTTCCTTTAGTGCTCAAGTAGGAAGGTATAAAAGAAATCCACACACTACAGAAAACCAGCATGCTAAATGTGATCATTTTGGCCTCATTGAATTTGTCTGGTAGTCTCCTGCCCAAAAAAGCAAGAACCAAGCTCAGAAATGCCAGGAATCCTAAATAACCTAGAACACAGTAGAAGGCAACAGTTGACCCCTCATTACAGTGAAGTATGATTTGGCCAAACTCTGACTGTGTGTCAGTGTCTGGAAAGGGAGGAGAGGTTGCCAGCCACACTGTGCAGATGCACCCTTGAATGAGTGAGCAAATGTAGACTATAGCATTTGAAATTCGGGTCACCATCCACATTTGTATTGAGCTTCCTGGTTTGATTGATTTGAAGGCCACAAGCACAATGAAAGTCTTGGTTAAAATAGCAGACACAGCTATAGAAAATACAACTCCAAAGAATGTTTGTCTCAGTATGCAAGTAACTGGACTGGGCCGACCAATAAACATCAGGGAGCAAAAGAAGCAGAGGATTAAGGAAATGAGGAGAACGTAGCTGAGGTTCCTGTTGTTTGCTCTCACGATGGGTGCATTTCGGTATTGGATAAAAAGTCCTAAAATCAGAGCAGTGAGGACAGATAAACAAATGGCTGTAGAGGCCAAAGCTGTTCCCAGAGTGTCGTCATAGGACAAAAATGTCATAACTTTGGGGAGACACTGATATCTCTCCATATTTGGATACTGATTTTCTGGACACTTGACACATTGATGCATATCTGAAAGGGAATAAAATTATTGTGTTACATCAGGACACTTTTGATTGTATGTGTAAAAACAGTGTAACTTGAAAGGTGTTTAAATTTTAAGGGAAAAAAACAAGTTACAGAAACAGAATTATTTCATTGCAAGATGATTAAAAAAATGAATTTCTTGATTAGATGATATGTCTAAATCTATATTTGAATCCACATGAAAAACCAAAAGTAACATTGTTAGAACAATTAAAGAAGTCCAGAATGAAGAATTTGGCAACTGATGTAAAATAAAAAGTACAAAATTCAGTAAAGATATTTGTTACCAATAATCAAGGTTTTAATTGTGGGAGTCCATGAAAAGAAATATTTTTAATGTTTAGAAAGTTAATGTGAATAGTATTACAGGACTATTAAAATGTAACAATGAAAAACATAAATTTTCTTTGACAATTTATTTCCTTATGAGAAAATGTACTAATCTTTCATTTTAATCTTCACTGAAATGTTAATTAAAAATCTGTTCAAAAGCAAAATCATTGGACACTTATCTCTTCATGTATTTATTGTAATTTCATTGATCAAACATTCTTATTTTTCAAATAATTTCATGAAACAAGTAGATATATAGAAGTAAATACTTTTAATACATTTAAAAGGAAACGCAGGACAAGTTAAATTATGTCTTTGAGCTTTGACATCTTTTATTGTGAAAGAATTCTATAGAAAGTTTTGCTCTTGTTGTGGTTTTGTCATTTTGAGACAGGATTTCCCTAGTAGTTCATACTGGACAGGAAGTCACTTTGTAGTCCAGACTGGCTTTGAACTCACAGTAATCCTCCTGCCTCAGACTCTCAAGTGGCAGGATTACAGTATGCACCACCATGCCTGGTATAGGAAATGCTATTAATTAGAGAAAGTGTCACAAATTTCACTGTGTGTATTCTGCCACATTTTCATAATTGTATAGATTTTTATATTTATTTACATATTGTTCATAAACATTGCAAAGAACTGATGTGTATCAATTGATCATTAAGAAAAATGACTTCATTGTGGCCCTTATCCAACACATCTAAGGTTGAGCATTACCTGCATTATTGGATTTCTTCTATATCCGTTTTAACACATCTGTATAGTTCAATTTTTCCAATCATTATGATCAAATACATGATATATGAAAGTTAAAGGAAGAAAAGTTTACTTTTCTCCATATTTTTAGAGGTTTCAGTCCATGATTGACTGACTTCATGACAAAATATTATGCTAGAAGTGCAGCACAAATCAGATTTTTTCACTTCATCATTGCAGTTAAGGAAAGCAGAGGAACAGTAGTAATGTGGAAGATGTCAATGGACAAGATATAATACCATAACTCACTGAGGGACACTGGAAAGTGCAGTTTATTAATCTAGGTGGCTCTCATCCTGAGCAGGTGACAATGTACATTAACTGGCTCTTTCATATCCTTGTCAACTTCACACTCAAACTCATCTCTGTTAACTATATTTAATCTTCAAAAAAAAAAAAAAAGAAGAAGAAGAACAAGAACAACCTAACTCTACCTTCCATAATGTAACAATCCCAGATACAAAAATTGTACTAATCTTGTTCTCCCAAATTTCAGGATTGCTTAAGTTTTCTATTCTCCTCCTAGAATCAAGACAAACTCTCGCTGTAAAGCATAGACAATTTAAAAATAAATAAAGGTAAGTATTCCCCATATACAAGCATACAGGGTAAACATTCTACTTTCTCTAGGGAAAAAATAGGTAGCTAGAAAGAATGAGGGCAAAAAATACTGGAAACCCATCAGAGCAAATGGTAAGTACCCTGACTCACGCCTGGTATCCAAGTAACATGGTGATGAGATATTACCTCCATAGTGATTGATTTGGGGAAAGGATTCCTCCCTGATGACCCACCACAGGGCTACAAACCTGTAGCAAGAGTGTTGGGACAAGATTTTGGTGATCACTGAAAGCTCAAAAATGCTCAAAACTGGCGACAAGCAAAATATGTATCTATAATTGTCTTTTGAGCTCTTACCGCACATTCCCAATGTCTTTCCTCATCAGCTGATCCATATTCTTGGCCTCTTCAAATTGCTATGACTTCTACTACTATGTTAAATTCATTCCTATAGCTTCATTTAACCATGTGTCAGGGACACAATACCTGACTCCACAGGCTGTTCTTTGAGAGTAATTTCCCTGGCAACTCCTGATTTCATCACTTGTATGAAACCTGTAATGATATTTCTGTCAGCTGCAGGAGTAGGAAGGCCCCCTCGAACTGTGGCTTCACGGGCCTCTAAATTCATAGGCAAGGTTGAAAGAGTGTAGTGAAAGGATGTTAGGAGACCAATTTTATATGCTTCCTTTCTTGCACTCGAGGCCCAGTGGTTCTCTTCACAGAGGATAATTTGGCACTTTTGGATTCTTTAGCAAGCTGTGGATTGAGTTTTGCTGAATCCTGAGATACTTCAAGTCATCATGCTTCCTATTGCAGTGCAAAGTACTAAGATTCATTATTTTTTAATCAAAGCATATTTGCAATGTATAACAGTTGTATTCATTTTAGGAAATGGCACATGTAAAGTTTTTTCATCATTTCCCCCTCTCACTACTCACTCTCCTTCCTATTGTACTCTTTTCCAAATGAAGAATTTTATGTTTGTGTATCCTACTTCTTTGTTTTATTTTATTTAAAATATATTTCTCTTGTAACAGAAACCATGCAATACATAACTTTCTGTGTCTCACTTGTTTCACTTAGCATTATAATATTTCATCTATTTTTGTGCAAATAACATAATTTAATTCTTTATGATTGTGTAATACTAAATTGTGTATATACATCATACTTTCTTTGTACACACATCTATTAGTTGGCATCTAAGTGTTCCCAGATCTTATACTTTGTAAATTGAGCTGGTAGAAACATAAACATTAGTGTATCATTGTAGGACTCTAATTTTTTTGACAATATACTCAAGATAAGAATACTTGAGTAAATTGTAATCGTTTAATCTAGTTTATTGAAAAATCTCTATGGCAATCTCCACGGTGCCTGCCCTGGTTTACATTCTCACCAACAATGCAGAGTTGTTGCACATTGTCTACACTCCCATAAGCATTCACTGTTTTGGATTTATTCATGGTCATTCCGACTCTAAAAATTGAATCTGAGAGGTTTTTTTAATTGCCATAATCACTAAAAATGATAATATTTTGTAAAATTCATTGACATTTGCAATTTTTGAAATGTGTTGACTCAGGTGATTGGCACAGTTTTGGTTTGGGCAATTCATTGGATACGATACTTTTTATAGTTCTTGTATATATTTGTATTAGTCTTCTAGCTGAAAATCAGATGATAAATTTAAATTTCAGATTCTGTAAAATGACTTTGAGTATTACGGATTGTTAACTTGCAACACAGAATCTTTTTAATGTGATGGAATTCCATTTGTGAGTATTTTCTGTTTTAGATTTCTGTTCAGGAAACATGGCCTACACTTATATCTTTCAATGTTTACCATATGTTGTCTTCCATTTGTTCCACATTTTACGTTTTTATATCTAGACCTTAATGCACTTCTTTGATATTAATGCTAATTGATATATATGGATCTACTATTTTCTTTCACAATAAATATCCCATTACTTCAACTTTACCCATGGTTCATTTTGGAGAAAACTTTCACATTTTCCAAAGTGGTTCTGTTTTTACTTGTCATTTTCATTGTAAAACTCTCTACATTGGTCAGCAGTTCCATGTGACAGTATGGATGTGTTCCTATCTTGACATTCCCCAGTCCAGTCCATTGGTTTATACTTTAAAACTTATGTTTGTGAAAAATCTCAAAGGGTGGGAAGAATATATTCAAATAATTAGCCACACTGTCACATGTATGGCCTCTAGTCTATTTTCCAGTGGACTTTGTATGTGAATTCTTATGAGCCTGGTATTAGCATGTATATTCTTTTCAACATTCTGTTCCAAACTCTAACGAGAACTCACCTATTGCTATGCTTACAACTCACCTATCAGGCTTGCTTACAACATCCTAGAGCTTCATTAAATCACTCCTCCAAACCTCTCCAAATATCTGGAAGAAACCAGACTCAAAGAGCTTAGAACCATTAGGTCATGTGATTTCCATGGCAACGAATCCACTTTTTAAAAACTAAGTTTCTAAGGTGTTCTCATCCCTGATGTTCTGTTTTTCAGCAGTAATGATGTGAGCAGTTCATCTCTACCCACACCAATCTACACCCATGTTTCTGCCTTGGATGCAACCAACCATGGACTGAATCTCTGACATCATGAAAATTAAGCCTACATTCCTCTTAGTTCTGGATCTTGTGCATCTTGTCCCAACAACTGGAAAGCTGTGCTAATAGTAAGCATATATTTAGTGACGCTTCCAAAATTTAAAAAAAAAAAAACAAAAAACAAAAAACAAAAAACACACAGAAACTCTGAGTTCAGTAAAGATGCAAGGAGTGAAGTCATTCACAGATTATTAATATAAAATTTGGTCAGTGTTCAAATAATCATATCAACGATTATTGGAAGTTAATGACAAGCAACAATATCCTTGACCACTACATTTTATCTCTAGCAAATACCCAATTCCTACTGTGCTCTAAACAACGTTTTCGAAACTAGAGTGTTCCTGCCAAAGCTTTCCCTCCTCCCTAAACACCAGAAATACATAATCATATATCTAGCTGCTTAAACTAAAATAGGTATTGCTTCACTTGAGTTTATCATCCTTTCCATTCCATATGCAGGATATCATGTGGTTTCCCTTTCATCCATTCTAGTTCTTTTTTGTTTTGGTACAATTTATTCTCATTTCACCATGTATTCTGTACATTATAATTCTTACTTATTAATCTTTCCATTTCTAACATAAGGGAGATAATACGATGTTTAAAAGTGCTGTTTGACACGTATGAGACAAGTATGGTCTCAAATTGAGGAATGCAGCGAGGATTCAACACACATAAATTAACAAATACCATGTCAACATAGCTAAAGACAAAAATCACATAATCATTTCAACAGATGAAAAAAATGACCTTTTACAAAGCCTAATGTTTAATCATGATAAAAAAATCTACATAAAATTGAAATATATTATCTTTATCTCAATCTGATGAGAGCCATCTAAAATAAACCAACAGCCAACATCATACTAAATGGATAAAAACTTGAAGCTTTCAATCTAACGTCAGGAACAAAGCACAAATGCCCAAAGTTACCATTCCTAAGCAACGTAGTTCAGGAAATATTAGTCAGAACAAATAAAAAAAGAAGGAGAAATGAAATAATTAAGGATAGAAAAGGAAAAAGTAAGATTATCATTACCCCCAGGTGACATGATTCTCTACACAGAAGACACCAATTAACATCCCAAAATAATTATTAATTTAATACACATTTTCATTGTGAACATAGAATTGTTTTGGAATTAAAACAAGAAGCAAGGATAATTTGTGTTGGCAACACTACAATATTAGTTACTTCAATATTAAATAGTTCACTGACTTACAGATATGACATGTTCATGTGCTCTGCTGATGCTCAACAAATACTGAGAAACCGTTTATTTGAGAAGTGACAACTGAGAGTACCACTCAGATACAGAGAAAGTGTTAAAAAAAGAGCTTTCTCACAGTCCTTTTGAGATTACTAAATATTGGGGTATATAGTGACTTAAGTTTGGCTGTGAATAATCTTAAGAAGATATTTAGTTGGACTGGAAAAATAATCTCAAAAATCCTGATCTTAGGTTACTAGAAGAGTAATGATGTACCTGTGTATAATATGATGTTCTTAAGAGAAATACTGTTGTGATATTGAACTGGGTTTTATGTCAATTGTCTCTTATTATAGGATCTTGGGATGTTGTGTAATCTCTCTTAAGTTCAAAATTTAAGTAGTAAATCTTGATTATGTTTATAATTCTTGAAGTAGTATTTTTTTCATAACAAGGTACTGTTTTTATATCACACGTCACCGATTTCACTATTTAAGAAGGCCTTAGTAAATGTCACTTACAGCTACAGTAGAAATAAAGCATCTGGTAAAATTTACAGGTCATAAGAACTTGAATTCAATAAAGATAGGCTGAAACCAGAAGTGAGCCACACATGATGATGCACACCTGTGTTCCCAGCTAAACAGAAAGCTCAGGAAGATAGATGAGTTGATCCCAGGAATTCCAAGTCAGAATGAGTAACAATATATACAAAAAAAATAAATACATATATATTAAATAAATTGAAATCAGCAAATTAGAAATTGGAATCTAGCTAGGTAAGTATATCCTGAGGCATAACAGAGCAATATTCTTTTATCTCACATTAAAAAGAAATTTCAGAATCATTTACCTGTTTTATTTGCAACCTCCCCACCAGGACAGGGAATGCAATCAAAGCAACAGGATGATTTTCCTTTCACAGCAGTTTTTCTGAAACCAATTTGGCAACTTGGGTTGCAAATAGCAGATGGAGCCTGTACAAGAGGCAGAACAAAGGAAATCCACTTCATAAACAAGATTCAGCAGCAGCAGATGGGTAAGGTGTTTCAGCAGAACTTTTGCATGATGTGACATCTTAGCCAAGGGTTAATAAAATTGTGCTTAACATTTTTGAGGAATAAATGTGATAAACAGTGTTACAAGCAGTTAATGTACCTATATTCATTAGTATCCATGGTAAACAATGTATGCAATTTGATGGTGTATATCGCTAAATATTCATCTTATATCTATCCCATAAGTCAGTTATTCTCATTAGTACCGATGACATAAACTGTTATTTTTCTGAGCTTAAATATGGCCTGAGCTCATTTTACTAATCATCTAGGCAACTATTCAATTATGATAAATACAGGCAATGTGCTCCATTAATGAAAATTAATATTTGATTCAGATCAGGTGTTCAAACATTACAGCAAAGAACCAAATAAGGTGACGTCAATATCATGGAATTCAAAACCTTACATAAATTTTATACTTTTATAAATATTATTCCTAGGACAATCAACATAGTGTGTAGTTATGGAGGTTTTACCTCATTATGGTGTTCACCCCACATCATCAGTTTATCATTGAAGGATAAATGTGGAGCCTTGTGTGGTTGAAAGATGAACTCTCCAACTTTCACTTGAGCTTTAGTACCATTTAGCAAGGACTGGTAATTAAAGATGTCAAGGCTGGTTGTTGAAAGTTTCTCACTGGAAATTTTCTGTTTACTGTTACTTCTTTCAAGTTGGGATTTTTCCAAGAAGGGATGGAGCTAAAATTGAAAATTAGTTATTAGACTTTAGGAAGTAAAGCATGAAAGCAAGAATAAGACATTATTTCAATAGTATTCTTTTCCTATTTGTATTCCAATAAATTAATTTTATTGGATTATCAGTCAAACTTAATACAGAAATATATATATATATATATATATATATGCTTAATGTTTCTTAGGTCAGAAAATAAACCTTAACTAGCTTAATAAAACTGAAATAACATTTCTAACCATATATTAGTAAAGTAGAAATAAACACTAAATTGAAAAATGGAAATTAAACAAACATATGAGATTTAACATGTTCATCACATGACAATAATAGAAAAGTCTATCTTGATACTAAGATATCATGTTACAAGATAAACAATAACATTTCCTTTAAAAATTACAATAACAGATACATTGACAATAAGAGAAAATCGCCATACAATGTTATAATTCTAGGAGCTAAGAAAAGCAATAATCTAATTATGCAGTTAGAAAAAAGAAATACATATAAGATCAGAAATATATCATGTGTGCAATATAGACAATTAAAATATAAATGAAAGTGAGATGACTTTAAATGATAAATTTTTATACAGAAAACAAAAGAAATAAAATTTACTAAAATTTAAAAACAAAACTTGAAAGCGAACAAAAAAGTGAAAGCAGTTAGGATGTATATACACATACATACTCCCTACAATGAAAGTAATTATCAATGTGTTGCAATTATGTATTGATAAAAAGTTAAAATTACAAGAAACAAGTATAAAATCTAATACAGCATGAACTAGTGATTTAAAAAGACTTCTACAAACAGCTCTATACAGATTAGATAATCTGTAAGCAATGAATTACTAGACTCATCAATTTATCAAGATTGAGTCATCAAAAGCAGAAAATATGAATAGATCAATAAAAGATGAAGCAATAGAAGCAATAATCAAAAGTCTCCAAATAAAGAAGATCCCAGAAGAGATTTGCTTAATAAGTGAGTTCCACACAATTTTATGAAAAAGTTTTCCAAAATATTGAACTGAACAGAAAGCTCACAAATATATTTTATAGGGTCAGCATTATGTCCAAGAGCTAAAATTTGGAAGCTATTTTAAATATCACTTAGTAAATGAGTACAAATTTTAAAAGTCCATGTATTTTAAAAGGAAAATTACTCATTCTCAAGAAAAAAGAAAATTCTGTGATTTGTTGCATAATTTATGAACTCAGAAAAATAGGTAATACATATTAGGCTTTCAGGGATTGAGTAAGGTTAGAAATGTGGACATGCTGGTCAAAGAGAAGAAATTTGCAATTATAAAACAGCTTTTACTGGAGACCTAATATAGAGCCTGGTGTGTATAATTTTTAAAATCTTTTATCTTTGAAATCTGCTAAAAAGGAAGACATGCACACACACTGATAACTACACCAAGTTATAGACATGCTATTTAACTTAATTTTGGTAATTATTTCACATTTTCTACAAATGCAGTAGACACTCAACATTCACAGGAATTATGATCTCAAAGCACCCTAGGTTGGAAAAAAACTGAATTTCAGATATGGTCAGAAAACTCACTGTAGGAAGCATTCTAAATAATTTAAACAATAATTATACTATTTCTTGCAGTTATTTAATTTAATAAACACTATTAATAAAACTTGGAAGGTTCAGGGCATTGTAGTAGCACCTTAAAACTCTTTGGGCTTTAAGCATAACTAAACCAAGAACACTGGATACAATAGAGTGCTATCATGAGGAAATACAGATGCTTCTCCCTGAGACAGGTTACAGGTCAACAACCAAAGAGCCTCAAGGAAAATTAATCACTCTCTTGAAATGGCTATTTGCAAACTTTATGTCAAATCAATGTCTGAGGATATTTGTGATTTAAATAAAATTGCTGGGATTTCAGAAAACATCTACTAGTTAGTTTGCAAGGAAAATATGAGAAGAATGAAGGCCATGAGCTCTCAAGCACTTAATATAGCTATTTGATAGATACACATGTTGTTGGCATGGAATATGAAAAATTTTGTCAACCAAATCTCAGTGACACTGGAAAGAAGTGAAAAGTACAAACCAATCTTTCTCAATGACATGCAAGCAAATAAAATCTAAGAAAATAAACGTCATACACTATAATTAAGCATGGTTTAGCATCTTGAAATTAAGGCAACTTATTTTGTTCAAAGTTGAAACAGTATTAAAATGTCACGGCCATCATACTATATTTAGAATTACTTGAAGATTTGGTATATAAACAGCTTTCCCCACTTAGTAAATATTATGAACAGAAACAAAAGTTATCAAAAGCACAAAATCCTGAATTTTTGTTGTTAAAATTGCAAACCAAGTCTGTGTTCCAGCTATGGTCTCTTCAATTCTTCGAAGAAAGCTTTAGGAGAATAACAAGTTAAAAAGAATACTGTAGAACTATAAGACTAGACATGCAATCGTATCTTTTTTGATGATGCTGAGAGAAAAGCTTCAGGCATCCGCAAAAAAGTTGGAAAAGCAAGAAAAAATTAACAGTTTATTTCAATTTAAAATGATAATTACATATAAATACTTAAAATAAATTAGAAATAATTACTTTAAGTCAAGTAAAATATAAAATCTGTATTACATGCATTATAAAATTATAATATGTGATATAAAAATAGTACTAATTTAATTGAAATGAAAAATGCATAATCTCCTGTAGTTCTGGTAATTCATTAAAAACTGCCAAGCACTGGAGCAAAATAAAGAGAGAAGAATTATACAGAGAAATTTCAAATTTTTTGATTTGACTGACTCTGTCCTAGTGTGTCACATTTGGTTTTACTTTCTTCCAAAAAAAAAAAAAGTAGTAAGAACTGTGGGAGTAATAAAACGCAAAATGTGTAATTGTCATTGTACAAAAGGAAGTTCTCTAAAAGATATAACTGCATATATATTTAAGTGTATAAGATAGATAACCATATTACTGAGTTTTGTTGGAACATTGAACAAAACTGTTTGCAGTCTCTCTCTTTGAAAGTCCCCTCTATATGCTTTAATTTTGTAACTTCAATGACTATTTCTAAGATGACAATATGTAATTAAGTAGTGATTTCCTACTGTTTACTTTTTCTGAAATTCTGTATCACTTGTACCTTTTTTCTGTTTTTTTTCTTTTTTCTCCTTAAATAAAATTAAAAAAAATAAATGTGATAATACAAAAGAGTGGATAAAAAAGTTTTTTATTCCATGAATTTTGATTGGCTAACTGGTTTTCCACACTGAGGAAAATTAATTTGTTACCAGTATAAGTTCACTTTACTTTTACTTTTAACACACACACACAAAATATTTCTGAGCTATCATTTTATAGAGTTGAAATAGAAACCAATAAAATATTTAGAATAAAGGTTCTAAACAGTAATCTTTAATACTGTGAAGTAAAAAGACCTCTCATAGGGCAGAAAGAATAAAACGAAAAAATAAGATAAATTGTTCTGAAATTAAGTATTTTTCTTAGCCATAAAAGAAAATGAGAAGTTTGTGCACAGAGGAGAATATATTTTCACTGAAAATAACTGAAAGTATACATGTAAACACAGGTGAAACTTTGGTAAATAAAACAGGTAGCCAAAAATATAAAACTGTGCAAAAGATCTATACAAAAAATGAACACACTTAAAAGTGTTCTGTATTTCATAAGTAAATGAATTACAGGTTATATAATCATCGAAATCTTGTGTAAAGTGCCAAATTAAAAAAAAAAACCCTGATGACTATACCTATGCTGTCCCATTTTCATGCACCAATAAGGATAACCTGTAATTTATAAAGAAGATTATTAAATTTAAAACAGTTTCTACCTTCCCATGTTTGCCTGTTGTGCACATAGTTCTCAGTGTTCACAAGAAGAACACTTTACTGTTACATGTAGTTTTATAAAACAATTCAGTAAAGTCTAAGGACAAACAATTTAATTGTCAATAAGGAAATCAACACTATTGAACTTTTGCCAATAGGTAAAATACAATGTTTTCCCCATTGCTCAGTAATATGAAACAGAATAGTTTGGGACGTGACCTAAATTTTTAAAGCTATTAAAGCCTAAGGCATGGACTATTGAACTTATAAAGAATGTGTATAACAAAGGAACAATGCTTGAGTGTTCTTCCATAAACTTTAATGCTTACACTTCTGTTAATTGCCAGAGTTCAAGGAGAGACATTCCTGAAAATAATACAGAAGTAATTTGAGAACAAGGCTTTCTTATTCTTTATAAAATCTAGCATTTGGGGCTTGAAGACCAAAATGGAATAATATTTTAATGCCTTAGGAAACCATTACAGAAGGAGAGAAATGGACTTAATATAAAGAGGATGAGGAAAGCTAGCAACATGAATTCACCCATGCTTCACAGTTTAGTAACTTTTATTTCTAATATAAGGAGAATTCTTTTAAAAGACAAACAATGAATGAGGAAAGTAAAAGAACAACGTACAGCACAATGTCCACGGTATGTGGAAGAATGAATTTTGGTTACCTGCCATGGATGAGAGTTTACATAGGTAACATTGTCAGGTGGTTCTTCTTCTGTTCTGATTGAGAGTAAATCATGAAGAGCCCAGGCAATGACATTCACAGCAGCATAAACATTGTAACTCTGCGGTGAAGTATTCATATCCCAAACATGCAGAGGCCGAGTTTCCAGGGTACCATTTTCTTTACAATCAGTAAATGTCATGATTCCATTTTGATTCATATATAGACATTCAAATAATATAGACCACACATGCTGGATAAAGACATCATGAGGGTATTTTGTAGGTTGAACACTTCTAAGGAAAGTTTTAAAACCAGGGATTTCTTCTATGTGGAAAGAAAAGGATAATCCCCCTCCAAAATATGTGTAACTTGGACCTTGTTGAAAGGGAATTGTAGTTATATCCCAATCAAGAGTTGTAACCAAGATATTACCAAAAAGACTACTGCAATAAATGTGATATACATATCTTAGAAGAGAGTATGTGTCACCAAAAGCAACACTGACCCTAGTCGTTGTGTATCTTTCAAAAAAGTGCTGCATGTTAATTGTATCATCAGCAGGAAACTCTGGAATCCTTTCTGCAAATGCAATACACAGTCCATTGTTGTTCATCTCTTGTGTCATGTCCTGGAGAAACTTATCCCCCCTGATGTCATCAGGAACCACAAAGCCAACCCAGACCCAGCCAAAATGCAGCATGAGTTGAATGAGGCCCTGATAGAGAGCCGCAGTGTTCATAGGAAACTGGTAAATAGACTGGAGCTGGACACTGTCTTTGAGACTGTGGTCAAATGGACCATAGCTGATCTAAACAGAAAACATAGTTACTGCTTACACTAAATCAGGATATTTATTCTCTAATGATTTAATTTGTCTTATCTGTTACATGTATTTTTATAAAACAATTGAGTAAATGTCTAAGAAATACCAATTTATTATATATCAGGAATCACATTAATTTCACTACTAATAATACATATATTGCTTTCTTTATTGTTTTAAGAAACAAATCCAAAATAGAGCCACAAAATGTGTTTATAGCTCTGATGTATGATAAAGGATATAGTGAAGGTTCTTTGCAAACCAAAAGGTTCCTGAACTCAGCTGTCCATGGTGCTATCCCCAACCAATTCTTTCTTTCAAGTATGTTCAACACTTATCTATTTTTAAAGCATTAAGTCACTAAATATCTAACACGTTCAATTACATGACTAATTCTCAGAATTCATTTTGCATAATCTGCTTTAAAAGCTTGATACTTCTTTTTTTTTCTTAAAAAAACTTTCATTTTCAAGTTTCGGATACCACCTCCTTCAGTAGTATACTTTCATAATATAACATACGTTATTCATCTTCTTTACCAATGCTCCCGTATCTCCCCAAGTTCTTAATATCACAGAAAGTTACAATTATGGGATTTCTCTTTCACTTTAATTTTTTTTCATTTTAAAGAGAAAAATTATAGAAATAAAAATAAAAACCTTTCAAATCAAGCTAATCAATTAAAAATATTTAATGTATTTCATATTGTTATCTTCATAAAGTTACTCTGGTTACAAGATATAGGCATGAATAATTGTCCAAATATTAGCACAAAATTTTATTTTCTGTGAATGAGGAGCAGCTAACACTATAACTTTCCTAGCTATTTTTATTTATGTATGTCTCTTTCCTTTTCTCTTCCAACCTATCCACTCTCCATCATCACTGTTTTCATTCAAAAATTTCCATCCAATTTAAAATAATTATTGTTCATTTTGGATCTTACTCTATGAGCTTCTCATACTAGGGTGACAACATAGTGTTCACATTGGTGAGTCTGATTTATGTCATTTATTAGTAAGGTCTCATTACCTATAAAAGTCTCAAGCTTATTTTGATTTATGGCAGAGTAATACTGCATCATATAAAATAAAATACATGTTTTATATCCATCAATTAGTTAATGGGCATATGACTTGCTTCTAAGATTTAATTATTAAAAATTGTGCTGCTATGCACTTGGGTGCACATAAAGCTCTGTGGTACGAAGTTTTAATTCTTTTGCAAAGATACCCAGAACACGTCTGAGTCAAATGGAACCCCTAATTATATTTTTTATGGAGTCTCCAGGCTGATTTCCACTGTGGTCCTACCACTCTACAATTCAACTTACAGTACAGGAGGGTTTCTTTTCCCCCATATTTCCACCAGTAAATGTTATTGGCTGATCCCACAATGGTAGATATTATTTCTAGAGTGAGATGCAATCTCAGTGTTGTTTCAATTTGGATTTCTCAAATGAGAAATGATTTTGAATAGCTTTTCACATAAGTAGTAGTTGTTTGCATTACTTTATCTTAAAAGTGTATGTTCATCTCAGATGTACAATTTGGGATTAAGATGTTGAATCTTGGGTTGTCTAATTTCATTAACTTTATATATGCTGTAGATATAAGTTCTGATTCTGAAATACATCAAATCATCAAGAATATTATAAATCATGACCATGTAGGATTCATGCTATGGATGCAATGGTATTTCTATATACAGAAATCATTCCAAAATCAGGATAAGGACAAGGGTGTCAGCTATCATTGTTCATTTTCAATATCATACTGGAAAAATTATCTGGAGCAGGAGACAAAGATAACCAAATAAAGGGAACATGGACAGGAAAGGAGAAGTCAGATTAACATTATTTTAATTTGGCATGATACTCTGCATAAAAGACCTCCAAGACTCCAACAAAAGAACTGAAGATTGATTAACTAGATTCAGTAGTGTAGATTGGTTCAAACAATACTTAAAAACCATAGCATTCCTGTACACAGTCTCCCAAAAAGAGATTTTAGGGAAACCATAACCTTCACAATAGAATTCCAAAAATGAAATATTAAGAATCAATTTAACAACGAAGGCAAAACATCTATATATTGTCAATTATAGCACTCTGAAGTTGGACACTGAAGAGGATATTATAAAATGGAAAGATAGCCCTTGTGCTGTAATAGGAAGTATCAATTGTGAGAATGGCTCTACTGTCAGCCTGTTTTACAGAAATTCAATCCCAATAGAAACATCACTTGCACACTTCACATAAATAGAGAAACTTTTGGTTCATTAGGAACCAGAGGGAATCAAGAATCATAAAAATTCTAGCTAACAAAGGCAAATCAGGGGACATTACATTCCCTGACTTGAAATTATGTCACAAAAATGGCATGAAAAAATCAGCATGGTAGAGGGAAATACGCAGACATGAGGAAAAAGGAAACAGAATGGAGGATACAGGTGCAACTCCAAAAATACTGAGACACTTTATGTTTGATAAGGAAACAAAATGGGTTAACTGGAAAATGTCTCTTTAAAAAACAATGATGGAAAATCTGCTTTTTCATAACCCCAAATACTAAAACTAGACACATGCTTGTCACCTGAACAACACTAAAGTCAGATGGATCAAAGATTTAAATATGAAAACAGAAACACTAACACTATTGGAAGAAAAAATGGGAAGAAACATTGAAAGCACAGGTGTTGGCAGAGCCTTTTGAATAGAAACCAAACAGAATGGAAAATATTTCAAAGAATCACCAAATTGGCTCTCACCTTAATAGAAAATTTTCCACAACAAAATAAATCAAAAGAATAAAAGGAAAACCCACAAAGTATAAAAAAGTGCCCATATTTGTATTATATTTAAAAAAACACCCATTCTCCGAGTCTCACCTCTAGAGTTAACCCGTATACACGCTCTAATCATAATTTTGTAATATTTAACAGAGCTAATATTGAAAGGCTCCAAATGATAATCTCTGTTGAGGCTGAAAAACTGATTTCCAGCTAATTGGATGACTAAATGGATGATTTAAACAGAGAAAAAGAGAAAGAAAATAAATCATAAAACATAAACATATACTTTTAGGGAAAAGGCAAAAGCATAAAGAAATATTCAACATTTAACTTGTTTTTTCACTGTTGAAATAGGTCAATAAAATTGCCTTTATTTATATTTGTCAGCCCTCAGTTTTAATATGTGATGTTCATCAATTTATCTTATCTTTATAGTTTCTAATGTTATTTTAAATTAGTGACAAAAATTTTGTCGACGTGATTATTTTATTAAAATTATTAATTCTTATTAATTGTACAAAATAAAGTGTTTCATTCTAAATTTTTCACACCTAAATTAGCCTGGATTGACCCATCCACAATCCTCTACCCTCTATTTGATCTCCTGTATCTCTAATATTCCTCCGGGTCACTTCTTTCTAAGGTTAACATTGTGAATTTCAAACTATATGTTTTTAGGACTCATATGAAAAAAAAAGGCTTACTTTCTTCAGTGTTGTTTGAACATTTCTTCAAAAGAACTTATCAAAAGGAAAAATTGTTTTAGATCAGACAGAAAAGATTTAAAGTATTCCTCACCATAGTATAATGAAAGAATTAGATTAAAACTACACAAATATATAAGAAAAACCAGTAAAATTTAATACCAGAAAAAAATGTAAAGTTAGACTTCAAATTTTAAAAATAATTTCACTCCTAACAATGGTGAGTAAACAAAGATTCTCAGCTGTTGGGAGAGTCAATTACATTTCTAAGTAATAATGCTTACTTTATTGTAAGCCTTGAAACATGAATGCATTTGATTTAGATGTGCCACCATTAGAAAAATATTCACAAGAAAGTGCCATCAATTAATCAATTTTTTTTCTAAACAAGATCAACAATTGAAACAGATTATATTAGGAAAATATCAAAGATAAACACCTGCACATAATAAATGACTGATAAATGGGTATAGAAAGAAATGTCATGAGGCAATTTAAAATGATGCGAAACAAAAGAAATGATCAAATGAAAATTTTAAATTTTAAATATCTTTACACCATGTGTGAATAGAATATCTATATTTTAATATATTTGTCATGTTTCACAATTGCATAAGTAAACACAAAATTCAATGGAAACAATAATATAAACATTTATATGGCAATAAGTTTATATATTATCATTAATTTGTCTAAATAATTTTTCCTACACTTCAAATATTTTCAAAAGAAATAGTGTTTTTAAAATAATTTCATGTTATAAATCAGATTACCAGAAAAAATGTAAACAAGATGTAAAAATGTCACTCTGTTTTCTATAAACCCAAATTGAATTTTGCTAGGTATTCATTATTCTATTTTTATATGTTAAGTTTAAATGCCTGAATTTTCAATCTACCTGTGGAACACTGTAGAGACTTACTACCCGGGAAATCTGGGTTGATATTCCTGTGGAGATGCCTCCTATCACAGCCACCAGCTTGTCCCTCTTCTCAGGCCTGCAGTTGTAATTAGGAACTGGAGGACTCTCGCATGAAAGCAGAGACAGAGAACTCTCCACGGCCTTCATCTCAATGTAGTCAACGTTGAAGATGTAGAACCCCAGGGACATATTGAATAGCAAATTCAACTTCTTATTGATCTCATTCACAGCAAAAACCATGGCCAGCACCTGCTGATAATGCTTAGTAAGGTGCCTAAAATACAATGGTGAAAAAACAGCTTTAAAGATTTTACTTATAAAAATGATCGTATTCTTGCAATAAATGCTCACAGTAATTTAGGAAATAAACTCAGCATATTCCATACAAAATGTTCAGAGATACGGTGACTACAAAGTGAGGGTTCCAATCAATTTTACAGTCAAATTTACACCTTGCACATTTTGACAATCACTGTAGCTTTTGTCTGAGAAACTGAGTTCAGGGAAGGAAGTAAATGGAAAATGGCAAAAGGAAAACTTTAAAATTCTGTATATTCCTTTCTTAGACATCAGGATACATTTCAGTAAAAATAAAATTTTGTTAGAATACCTCAGAAAATACTGAATAGAGAAATAACATACAAATTATAATAACATAAATAAAAAAGATGCCCAAAACAATGATTTCCACACAGGAAAAAAGATGTCAATAAATATCTAAGAACCTAAAGCACATCTCAAGTACTTTACAAATCTGCTTATGCATTTAAGAATAGTATCAAACTTACGCATATGCAAAAGGGGGGATATAAACTTCATGCTGGAATCCAAATTTGCTTCTCAAGTCTCCAGAAATTACTCTTAGGGAGAAGAGTCCACCGATAATAAAATCCCCATCTTGATAGTAGCCGGGAGATCCTGGTGCATTTAATGAATGAGTAGAACTTCTTTTCTGAAATATACAGAGAAGAGCAACAAGCAGAGGAAAAATGTTGTGTGATTTCATATTAAGTGATAAGGACTAGTGTACTGATATAACTGGAAAAACATATTTTATTGAAAATGGTGTAATGAAATGAACTAAAACTGAATGTACAGTCTGTGTTCCAAACCAGACTTTCTCCAGTGAATGTGGGGTGTTTATAAAGTACCTTCTCTGGTCTGATGTGAATGTACTAATATGTAAACTTTGAATTATTTTCTAGAAAGTAGTTTTCATGCACCTGCTCAACCTTCAATTTTCTTTCCATACATAGAGACCCTGAGGAATCACAAATTTCTGTTATTCCACCTGGTGTCCTGATTATATAATAAGAGAACCATTCAAATTAAAAAAACAAAACAAAACAAAACAAAACAAAACAAAACAAAAAAAAAAACTCCAAATCATAGGAAACTCACAGGAACTCTGTATTTTCAGGGATTTCTGAATTACTGCAGAGGCAAAGATAAGTACTGTAAACTACAATATTGACTTTAACTACTCATGAACCAAGAAGCCTCTTTTGAATGATGTCTTAATTAGTGCCAAGAATTTATTGATGAAAGAATTCACAGGTAACAAAAAGGCGATGATTAAAGCATAAGTTGGGTAAACAATGATCACATGACCTAGTTAATATTGCCATGATGGTACAATCTCTGACCAAAGAGGAATGTTCAGTATTGGTTTTTTATGTTTATTTGTTTTTAACAACAAAATCCATGATACAATTTTTCAAATCAACATAATATGAGACTAACAATGTTTACTATAAGGTATATTGTTTTCTTCTATGTAGTAGGTCAGATTACAAGATATAGGCATGAAAAATGATCAAACAATGAAAGCACAAAGTATTATTTGGAATAAACTGATAGATAATAGCATAATTAATTATCATCCATGTATAAGTATGTATGTATGTATGTATGTATGTATGTATGTATGTATGATCATATTTCTTCTTTCTTTTCTCTTTTTTTCCCATCCCTCTTGGTATTTCCTGGTGAGCAGTTTCTTCCATTCTCAATTTACCAATATCTGTTGTACATTTTGGGTCTTATTTCCTCTTTCAAATTTTTATATTAAGGAGGCATTACAAAGTTTTGATATGTGGATCCAAATTATTTCAATTATGATTATAGTCTCATGTTGCATCCAGTTATGTATAAAAGTCTGAAATTTGTCCTTCTAGGTTGAGGAGTGTAAAATCACAACTCGTTTGTACAAATATAATGCTTTTTTAATACACTTTGGTTGAGGTTAATTGATTTTGAAGATTTAGCTATTACAAGTTCTGTTGGTAGAATCGTGGGTGTCCATATATTGTTGTGATATAACATTTTCAAATCTTCAGGGAAAACAGCCAGATGGGATTAGTTTGATCAAATGTGACCTCCAAACCTAGTATTCTTAGAACACTTTACCTTGATTTCCACAGTCGTTGAACCTGTTTATGTTGCGACCAAAACTGGAAAAGGCTTCCTATTTGCCCCTAGCCCTGCCAGCATCAGCTATTGGTTGATATTTTGGAGATTTTCATTCTCCCCAAGTGAGAGGGAATTTCATGGTTGTTTTATATTGGATTTCTCAAATGACCAGACATCTCAAACAGTTTTTCCATTTATTTATTTGCCCATGGTATTTCTTCTTCTCAGATGAGAGTATTCATCTCAGATGTCCATTTTTGGATTAGGTTTGTGAATTTCAGTTTCTGATATTTTCCCATTCTTTACATGTTTTAGATAGAAGTCTGTATCTGAGGATGGTTGGCTAAATTTTTTCTCAGATGTGTATTGTCTTTTCTCTTTGTTGATAATTTCTTTTGATGTGCAAAATCATTTTAATAAGATGAGATACCAGCTATTTATTTCTTGAAGTGTTCCCCATGCAGTTTGAGTTTTGTTCTTGAACTCTCTGTCTATTCCTGTGTCTTCAAGATTTCTATCCAACATTTCTTCCAGTAGATTTTCTGTTTATGTTTTAATATTTAGGTCTCTGATGCATGTTGATTTACTGTATTGCTTGATGACAGGCACTGGTCCAGTTTTAGTGTTTGGTATGTGTAAAGAAATATTTTCCCAGCACAATTTATTAAAGAGAGTATCTTTCTTCCAGTGAACATTTCCCCTTTTACAAAGATGACGTGCCTGAGTGTCTTTTTAGCTGTTTCTGCAATTTATACTCTTTTTCAATGATCTTAAGTTTGTTTTTCGACATTATTATGCTGAATTTGACACGGTAACTTGAAAGAATAATTTCAAGTCAGTGATTGTGATGCTTCCTACCTTGTCTTTGTTGCTCAAGATTAATTTCACTATTTTACATCTCTTCTGTTTTCCAAATATATTTTAGCAATATTTTCTCTACACCTGTAGGATATACTGAAAGTATTTTCATTGGGATTGCCACAAATCTGTATGAAAGTTTTTAGAGTATGACCATTTTCTGTGTCTGTTTTAAATCATGATCAAGTGATCTCTTTCTATCTTCTAATATCATTTTTATGTCTTTTTACAGATTGTAGTGTTTTCCAATGTATGGAAATTTTACATTCTTTGTAGGATTGATTCCTATCTATTTCTCTCTTTTTTTTTGTACGCTTTGAGAAGCATGTGATTTCCCTAATGTCCCTCTCAGTGAGCTTTCTGTTTGTTCACAAAAATTAAATTGGCTTTTGAGTATTATATTTGTATGAAACTGTGCTATTGAATTTGTTTATTAATTCTAAGAGGTTTTTGAGGAGTTTTGGGGGTTTTCTATGCAAAGTAATATGTCACCTGAAAAAAAAATGATGTTTTAACTTCTTTTTTATCATTGCTCTTTTTAATTTTCTTTTTTGTGCAATTGTTCTAACACTTCCAAAACTATATTAAATAGGAGTTATGATAGTGAAGCTTTCAGTTTTGGTCCATTTATTATGTTAGCTGTTGGTTTGTCACACATAGGTTTTTTCAGATTCATGTAAATACCATCTTTCCTGACTTCCTGCAGTGATTTTACTTTCAATAGATGTTGAATGTTATCAAAAATTTTATTGGAACTATGGAGGTGACCACGGGTTTCTGTTTTCTATTATGTTGCTGTGATGTATTATATTTATTGATTTACATATGTTGCACTACCTCTGCGTTTCATGCATGAATCCCACTTGGCCATGGTGTGTAACCTTATTGATGACTCTTTGCATTCTATTTGGTATTGTTTCTCACATTATTTTTAAATCTATTTTCATCAGATAGATTGTCATGTAGTTCTCTTTTTTTTTTTTTTTTTTTTTGGTTGGGCCTCTAGTCTTTTTATCAGATGAATATATGTCTTTCAGAATATGCTAAGCAGAATCACTTGACTTTCAGGTTCATTAAAATCTTTAAAGAACACTTGTGTTATTTTCCTTTTATTTCTTATAATTTTCTGTTGCGAATCCACCAGGGTATGGGCTAATCATTATTGGTAAATTTGTAATTACATTTTCAGTTTTATTAACTGACATTGCTTATGGAATATTTTTGTTTTTGTGTTTTCTTTACTTCAGCTTTGAAGTTCACATGTTTCTAGGAATGTGTCCACTTATTTTGTGTTATTTATATTAAATGAATAATAATTTATAAAACTGCATACTGATGGTGTGAATTTCCAGAAAATGTGCAGGGATTTTATCATTTTCATTGCTTACTGCCAGGATTTGAGGGTTTTTTTTCTTTATTTCTTTTTTTTTTTTCATAAAGTAAGCTAGGAATTTATCAGTCTTGTTAATTCACTCAAAGAACCAAATTTACAAATCATTGATCATTAGTGTTGTTTCCTTAGTTTCAATTGTTTTAATTTCTGCTCTGGTTTTCTGCTCCAAAGTTTGTATCAGGCAAATACATGTGGCAAGAGTTTGATGCCAGTCAAATTCTCTTAACAGAAATCTTAAAAGATCTTTTGTCATCAGGAAAATATTATGTTAGAACCTGTTGCTCCATCAAAAAAGAAGAAAACAAGAGGAGAAATATGTTAAAATTTTGTTTTCAGTAATTCACTTAGTAAAGGAACAGTTGTTAAAAATAATTCTAGCAACAGAGCAGATAGAAGAGTAAAGGATAGCGAGGGTCTCTGAATATGATCACATGAGGGAAGAGTGAGGAGAGAAGATATGTGGGTGGATACAATTGGTGCACAATCTGTACACAAAGGGAAATACCTTGTAAACCCACTGATTTGTATACCTGCCTTTTCTTACTCCAAAAGATAAAATCATGAACATAACCATATATTTTGAACAGTCAAAATTCAATAATCATCATCTAGCTAATTACAAATTGAAAATATTAACAATGATGATTACTGATTGACCATCAGTAAAACTTTGACTGAAAAATGTAATTATGTACAGATTAATACCATTCATTTACACAATAGTTCCAGTCTACTTACTAGTAGAATGCCTCTTGCTAATAAGTATATACTACTTGTCTTTCCATTGCTACCACAAAATTCCTGACAAAGGTCACACACAGACTAAAGAGATGCTTATTTATTTTCGTGGATCTGAAGTCTTAAGTAGAACTTCATCCAGGCTTGCTATTTGGGTGCCTGGTGTGGATGACAATTGAAAACAGAAACTGAGAACTAGAGAGAGACTGGGAAACACACTAACAAACAGCTAAGAACCTGAAGTAGCCTTCACCTCTCACCAGTCCTCAGATCTTAACAGTTACTGCTCTGCTGGTGTACAAAACTTTAACGTACAGTGTTTTGGAAGATACAACAATCATAGCAACTTACATTGTTATAAAATATTCTAGTATGTCTATAATACAATGAAATTAGAAATGTATAAGAAATTTGCTAATTATAGAAATAATAAAAAAACTCCTTTATAATAAAAAATAGTTTCTCAGACCTCAGAACCCAGAATCATCAAGAGGGGGATTAAGGTGTCATATGGATCATACTTATTCCATTGTACATTTGTGAGCTTAACACAACTGAGATCTGAATAATCATATCCTTAACATATCATTATGGAGGGAGAAGGTATACATTTAAAATAGCAGAGAAGGGCTACTCTCTGATTGTTTTTTTTTTCTGATATTAAATGCATTCCTCTTAATGTATACTACCAAGAACTTTTCAAGGAGAGCAACATAGTAGAATTAAAGGCCCTTCAGGTTCTTTGAAGTTTCAGAAACTATGTGATATTGAGTAGAGCTGAGCCAGCTGAGAGCAATAGGTGAGATAAACATGTAGTTGCCACTTTGAGAAAAGAGACACAATCCACGACACAAAAATGTTCAAGACATCCATATGACGGAGTTGAGGAGAAAAAAAACATGAGATACTCATTTCTGAATCATGAACACACACTCTATGTGTACAGCTATGTGATAAGTGTAATGAGAATTTGGAGTCTGAGTCTCCTGTAGGTGAACAGATGTGTGAGTAGCTTGAAATTGCCTACATGTTATCAACAAAATAATTGATAAATAAAATGTACACTGCTAATCCATAAAGAAATTCAAATTTTGCCTCACTTTCAGTGAATAGATAGCTCTTGATACGATAACGCAAAATAAGATTAAGTCAGATAAAAAGTTATATATCACATGAACTCTGTAGTATGACAACCTATAAAGTAAAATAAAGAGATATGTTATCTGTTAATAGGAAAATAAACTTTATAACTGGAGAGAACATCTGTGGAAGGATGTCTAAAACAGGGCAAGGAGGAAGAGTAAATAGGACCAAAATGGAGCATGTCAATGTAAGAAAATAAACTGCCTAAATGTAATGAGTAAATATCACAAAGTAGCAAAAGTTAACCATAATGTACAATCACCTGGAGGTATTAAAAGAACTAAATTGAAATAAATACTGACTACCAGATAGAAAAGTGGATAACAAAAACTCATTTCTCTCATCGATTGCTGGAGAAAGCATTTCCTGGTTTTGATATGATGCTTTTGTTTTGAAGGTCGTGGCCATTGGATCAAGCTAGGTGACTGGAACAGAGATATCTGCCTTCACAGCTTGCTGTGAATCAATTATCCTTACAAATAAAGCAATTTAAAAAAATAAAACTGTCTCCTCATATATAAAATTCAAATACAGACAGAGATTTTGGAGTAATAGGTGGGAAAATATATGAAATCTAAACAATAATCATAAAAATATGGTGAGTACATTAATATGATAAAAAACAGAGACTAAAATGAAAGCTATAACAATAATTAAAGAAAGACAGTAAATAAGGATAAAACCAAAATTTCTAGGGCAAACAAAACAATCTTAGGTAACTATGCCAACAATAATAGAGAGTCACAATGCCTGACTCACACTGACAGAATTAAGCGGTGAAAAAGCATCATAGTTTTAGATGCCATGTCTAAATTCCATATTTCTGTAATTGAATGACCAAGGAAATAGTACTGCAATGGGCAGGAAAAAATGACCACAACAGTGTTACAACATTAACCTCTGATTCATTTATAAAACACTATATGTAATGAAATCACAAGCATTCACTTCAAGTGCATTTTCAACTATATGGAATGAATGGATCAGAGTAAGGTGGGTGAACTGGTGTAGAAGAGTAGAATTTATTTTACATTGCATATCTACATGCACACATTTACAATCACATAATTATATACACCTTGGACAGAGACTACCATAATGCAGTGAAGTGGAAGTATCTCTTGAAATCTAAAAATCAACATTACTTCAACCAAGATAAAATTCTAACTGTACAAAATTTTGCAAATTTGTACTGACACTTTGTGACTCTTTTTTCTTCAAAGAGAGGTGGGTCTTCATGAGTGATTCAGTACTAGCTTTGAAGGCAGACAAGGATCCAACTGTGGAGATTTCAGAATGTGCCTCCTATGGTCAAATTTTTCTTTCATTTTGGGAACTTGAACTTGTCTTGTGTTATAGTAATTAACCTGCTGTTAGAAAAGCATGGACTTGTGATTGACTTTATTGTGAATTGTTTCCCTTGTACTTTCTAAGGCTCTACATGAGATATGGTCTCCAAACCATGTGTGTCCCGGTAGAGTTCCAGATACTTGTTTTTTTTTTTTTTTTTTTTTTTTGTATTTGATCTCCTCAAAGAAGGATAAGTGACATATGTACAGCAGTGGGTATTCTCCTTGTGTGTGATTGTTCTTCTTTAACTTTTCTCCCTTTTGTTCATTTTTGTCTATTTCAAGCATTTCCAGGCAGAAATCTCTGCTTCTCATCACCGGGAAACTCTGCTCTCCTAAGAGAAAGAACTTCAACTCTTCAGTCTTTATCCTGTGCCTTGCAATATCCAGTTCCTTTAGGTTTCACAATGTACTGATGACTGTTGTTCTCAAATTCTGATGGGCCAAAACATGTAGTTGCACTCTCAAAATGAAATACAAGAGTTGTTCTGATTACACTTTCATCTCTCAAGAAATCAGAATAGTCAATTTTTTTATCAGACTAAGAAGAAATCAGACACATTTGAGCATAATTTTTCTTAAGAAAGTTCCTTTTTGGAGCACATCATAGAAGTACATACTCATACATTAAGGCAGGTAGTTGACATGAGAATGTCCCACCTATTGTGAAATTTCAGCAGTCTCAAAGAGCATTAAACATTTCCTGAGTGTAGATCTTGTTACAAAAGCCTCAACAGAGAAATTTAAAGGTGCCCAAAGGTGCCTCAATTTTTTCAGTCCAGGGGTGAAGGTTTTCACATACGTAACATTTTTTGCCAGATATCTCAGAAACTATGTTTTAATTTCCCCAATTATTCCTGAAGGCACAGAAAATGTCTGATCACTTCACCATTTTATATTTCTTCCTGTTATTTCCTTTGAACTCTGCATCTGTGATGTTTGGAAGGCATGTACAGTTCTTACAGGTAAACAGTTATTTATATATATATATATATATATATATATATATATATATATGTTTTGTTAATTTGTTATTTTAAATAACCTTGGATAGGCTCTTACTGTGCAGTTTAGGCTAACCTTGAACACACTATGTAGCCATGGCTGACCTTCAATTCACAACATTTCTTTTGCCTCCCAAGTGCTGGGATTACAGCTGTGTGTCACCACAGCCAGAATGATTACTATTTTATTAATAACTTGACATTTATTTAGGCTTTTCTTATAATGTTTACCTGCTCAATTTTTCAAAATGTTTAATGTATTCTTGAAAGAAAATTTTATATTACTTGTATGTACATAGGAACAAAGGAACAAATAACATTTTAATGGCATAAAGTCTTTTAAATTGGTTAATTTTATCTACCTGCCCTGTCAATTACTAAGATAACTATGTTCTCTTGGACTTATTAAATACTGAAATGTATAATTTGAATCTTTTTATTCTACACATATTTGTTTAAATCACCATATATTCTTAAAGAATTAAAGTATTTTCATTATTTTTGGTTTTTAATATTGTTTTTAATTTAATTTTCTGATATTTCATTATTACTTTATCTTTCACTTTTATTTATGCATTTGTACTTTGTTTCGTACTGCACCTCACCAGGGTTTCATTTATTTCTCATACATATATTCTTTGTAGTATTTGTGTCTGTTCTTCTAATATTTTCTCCTTTTTGGACTTCAAAATTGAATAACATTCACACATCTGATATTAATCATGGACACAATGAGTAGTTTAGATTGTTTCCACAAATTCTTGTGGCTACAGCAAGGAGATGAATCAATTGGCAAAAGTCAACCTTTTCCTGCTATCTACAGCCACATTCCCTCCTGTGTCCTTTCCCCACCTTGAAGCCATTCCCTCCTATTCCACCCAGTGCCTTCCACTTACCAGGTTCATTCACTCTACCCAGACATGGCTCATTCTTTCCATACTTAATTCCTTTGCCACTGCTGTTGTTTCTCCATAGATGATTTAGGAGTGGGTATCCCCTCTTAATTCACGATATGGGTAGGAACAAAGAACAACAGAAATTTTGTCACTTCAGTAGATATAACTTGGAAATACAGTAAAAGACATTCTTAGTCAAACTGTAAGAAATATTATCAATTAATGCTTCAACTTTAGATACATAAAACTCAGTATCTCTTTATATCTGTGAGAGATCAGTAGTGTGGCTGCTGGTAGAGGAAACTGTAGATGTGGAAGATATTTCAAAGATAAGCAGACTCACCACACTTTTCTATAAAGTAGAGATCACACACCCACTTGCATCACTGTTAATCTGATATCTCAAAGGTACAGGATGTTTTCAGGGCAGTACCATACACATTCACATTTTTAACTACAGAAAACCAAACTTTTGCTATCAAAAGCAAGCAGTGGTTTCTTTTGCTTTTAGGAAAAAAGGTGGGTGGTAGGAAAGAATATTAAAGTTAACACTGTGTGTACTGTATTATGTAAGGCACTCTGCCAATTATCACAAATATATTTATAATTCTTTAAGTTTACTATGTGAACAAGGTTGTAGTTCACACATAGAAATTTAACTGAATGGTATACATCTTAAACTCTATCTGTGTTCCTGTGCAGAAACTTGAAAATAATCTGTTGGCCCAAGCCCAAGTCTTGTCTAAACTCTAAACTGACAAATTCCAACAAATCTGCGAGGTCAAATTGTTCACCAGAATCATTTATGGGTTTAAGAATTCAAACGTAGTTCAAGCAGTGACTGTTGCCTGTGAATAAAGTTAATGATCTGAAGTGGACAAAATTCCACTTTGTCTCTACTTGAGGAACATCACTTAGACCATCATCACCTCTCATATTTAAGCAGGAGTGTCAGTTTCAATGTAATGAGCCATTTCAAAATTCAGAAAATATAAATCTAGGAAAATAGGAGAAGTCTCTAGTAAGTAATGGCTCCAATCAGGAAGCAAAACAAAAGAGATAAAAAGAGATTTTTTTGGTTAGCATGGGTCACAGTAACCACAATGAAACACCTGGTTAATTCAGTAATGTTTGCACCCTGCTTGGCAATGTTTCTCTTCATTTCTACCAGCAAAACATCAGAAATTCTGACTATCCAAAATAAGTTTTTATCAGTGATTTTGTAGAAAAATGAAGTAGTAAAACATCCATCCATTATGCAAAATGGTGAAGAGAGGATGTAGGCATAGAATTAAGGAAGAAGAGGAAAAAGTTGAGAGAGAGATCAACACAGAATATGTATGGGATAGCAGTTGGAGGCATGATACCCAGCACACACAAGAACCATTAGCCATCCTACAAAGTATGTGTGATTACAGCATCAAACATGATACTTCTATTATTGAAGACTTGAAAACTTGGGCTTGTTCTTTGCAGATGTTACATTTCTGCTTACCCTATAATGATTTTCCCAGCACACTAAGACAAACAAATCTGATCCTTTTCTGCTCCAGATGTGTTCTATGACTCTACTGTGGCAGATCAGAAATTAACAATATTGTTTTCTTTCCTTCAATGGAAGGATGAAATTTGGGGATAAAAGTAAGGACATTCTTTGCTTAAGAGTTTTATCATTTAAGTGTAATCATTCTTTTATTCCCAACTTGAACTACAAGGTTATTTCACTCATTCAACACAAGCAATTAAATGATAGTAGAATAAAAAATTTAGAGATACTATATTTACTTAAAGTTCTCATACATCAGTGTTTTATAGTACAAATGTTGAGTATCCTACTGACACACTTCTTGCCTTATAACATGATGAAAAAAACAGCAATTCTATCGGAGACCTGGTCTAGATCCACAGTTTCACAAATGAGTGTATAATGATGTCCTAAAATAAATGAGAAAAGTGGCATAATTTTAGGGCTCCATGGGGATCAACCCTCTGCAGAGTTTGCGACACTGGGAGCTAAAACAAGGAATGTCTCTGGGCAGTCTGTATTTATTTTTCTGTGTTTTTTCATTCAAGGAAGGGATTAGAGTGGAAAATCCAGGAAACAGCAGGATCTTGGGAGTAGTTCAAAGTCTTTTCCAAGTAGCAGATTATGTTAATTAAGGAGAAGAATCTTGACTTTGAGTGTAATCCTGAGATGACTCCCAAAGCTTAGATGATTTTATACTAAGAAGAATCAATGGGAAATGTCAAATGGGCTTTACCAATAATACCATCTCTTCCTTTTATCCCATATGGAAATACACAAAACCTATCACTGTGAATGTGTGGTCCCCCAAACACATATACACTAACATAAAGGAATGCTCATCAGTGAGAAGTATAGAACAAAAGAGGCCTTTCTTCTGAGAATGCGGAGAGAGAAAAACAAAACACCCCCGTCTGGCTTTCTGTCTTGTGGACCAATGGCATGAGGGGTATATAAGTAGCCTTGGTTTGGGGTGGAATCTAAGGGGGCATTAGGGATGCATGGGTAGCCCATTGGTCTTTGGCACCATAGGTAAATTCCTAGGGACAGGGAAGATGGAGTCACAGGTAAATTCCTAGGGGTGGGGGAGATAGGAGCTCCTTGGTTCCACCTCTAAGGCTTCACTGCCTACAGTGTCCTGTCTGGGCCAAAACTCTCTCAACCAGATTCAGTTTTATATGTAAAATAACATCTGTTACTGCAAAAATTTTACATTCACTTGTTTTTGTGAAGCTACCATCTTGGTTTGGGAAATTATTCAAGTTTTCTACTTTAAAAGCACATATCTGAAACTAACAGAAAAGTTCAAAAAAGGTAGACAAGACTGTTTCTGCCTGAGTCAAGTGCCAAAGCTGTCATATAATTGCCAGAAAAACAGAAGTGTTTCAAGTGGTTAGAGAAATCTATTATATTCCATAAAATTGTTACTGATAATTCAAACACTTCATACAGAAAGCAGTCCACAATTTCACAAAACTCTGTTTCTTTTTTGTAGCTGGAATTTAACTCACATATTGGGACTTGCCATGCCAACACTTAAGTCACTGAGCTAAATCCCAGGCCTGCTATGTTTCCTTTAATTGGAGTATTGCCTGGAAATAATCTTAAAGTCATCCCATTCATGAGAATATATCTATCAGAATTGCCCAAGACATCTGCAAAACAACCTGATCGCCACACTCCTCAAGGGCCCAGTGAGAACTCAACCAGGAGCCATCTGACAGTAATAACTATTCCCAGAACAGACATGAAGAGAAAAGCTCACATGTGGGCACTGGGAAGAAGTTAGGACTGAAATTTGACCTTGATACATTTTATTCTAGATAAAAGACTCAGTGTGTTCTGGGGATGAGCAAGCAGGATTTCTTGGTATCATTAGAACCTGTGATTCTGAGGTGAGCATCAGAATGCAAAGTGCAGATCCCACGGATACAGACAATATAAATCATCCTGACTGATGGTTTATAGATTAAAGAAAATGCAAGCTAGGAAACACAGGGAAATCCTCCTCACCGCAGGTCTTTCTCCTTCCTGATCTCATCACTATCATACAGGTCCTCACTTGAGCCTCACATATGATACTCACTTGTAGATAAGGTAGTGACAGAGGTTCTGACAGAGAAAAATCTTATCTTTAAACACTATTCAGTCATCCCACCCCTTGAGGTCACTGCACTATATTCTGATCAACAGTTTCCACAACCTTCACATGCTTTCTTGACTCATCTCAAATTCTTGTCCAGGCCCTAACCTGGACCAGTATTACTATAGATTATGGTACTTGGTTAGGTTTACTAGCACTAAAGTTAGTACTGTCATACCAGACACATTTACCTGAAGTTTCTAATCCAAGAAAATTATTACTTGGTTTTCAGAGAAATACAGGTATCATTTTCCAGAAACTGCAGTGAGGATTGAATACAGATTTAATTGTTCACCATTTAGTGACTCCTTTCTACCCATTAACCCCACCTTTCCACACTGCAGCTTCCTGTTTTCTTTCTCCTTTGATCAGTCACAGGAAAAGTAAGAAAAAAATAGAGCTAAGTTTTTAGGATTAAATTTTGGATACATGTTTTAAAAAATATCCTGTGGCCAGGATTTGAATGGGTCCCCAAAAAGAACAAATCTTGAGTACGAAAAGACCAAAGGGAAATTCTTCTCATTACTGTTATCAGGTGCTCAGAAAGGTTAAGTCACAGCTTCAGCAAAGAAAGAAATTGTGTAATAGATACAGAATGATAAGCTTCTATCCTTAAAGGATTAAACTCAAATCTGGTATTACCTTGATGTTTTCAAAAACAGAGTTTTCACCAATATCTGGAGCCACAAACTTGAGAGGTTAGAAGCACAAGACTCAGATATTGTCCAGGGATGGAACACTTTTAAGCATGGAGATAGCTTAGTCACTAGCACTGGTTAGTGATTGGCCCTAAACTAATCAAATACTGTTTTTCTCTATATGTCTGTATAAATTTCCTCTTCTTATAAAAATCAGGCACAAAATTAGAGGCCACCCTACAGAATCATGTTTATGTTAGTCTGACTTTATCTGAAAGGTTACTATTTAAAATGAGGTAACATTCTTAGGAACTGGAATGGCAGGCATGTGAGGGGATGCTATTGATACCTTCCTCACTCCTCAAGCTCCCAAAATTAATACTCATTTACAGAATTTCAACTCCTGAACTGATGAAGGGTACTTACCACCCTACCTCAATGCAGCATAATCCTTGACCTTGTTGCCTGTGTCACAGTGAATAAATTTCAGGCCTATATGGTGGACTCTGTGTTCTGTGTTGTACCAGTACCCACCATGTGCTATTGTCCTAAGCCAGACACGGTTTCCCAGGCAGCCAGAGATGAATACTCACTCTGTGATAGGAATCAATAAAAAAGACAAACCATACCACCAGACACACTACTTTGTATTAACACATCCTGTAAATCATCAGAAGTAATCTAGAAACATATGTTCAATTCTCTTTCAGATTCACAATAGAACTGGGAACATAAATCTAGAATCTGCAAGGCCTCATCCCTTGACTGTCAATGTTACTCATCTGTCTGCTGTTAGAAGAAAATAGAGGAAAAAAACCCTTAAAACTCCGTCAAAAGTTTAGGGGACTGAACAGTGTCATCTCCTCTGTACTATTTTCCCAGCCACTTTTTCAATTATCTTAGGACATAAGGCCT